ATGCCGAAAACACACTTTCTTCTCAGAAAAAAACTCACTTTTAGTTAATTGTTTAACTGGGAACTATGTCAGGAAACACTAAGCGAGAAAAACTGATAATTTAAATCAAGTGAATATCGAGAAAACTTCCAAAATAGCGGAGCGCGAACTAAGTCGACCGTACTTCTTGCTAGGACGCAGTGGAGTCGGATTTCCTGTTTATAAGAGGATACAAACATTTTATATATTTGTTACATTTGGCTTGAATGCCCTCAATGTGATCTTTAAAAGTTAATTTATGGTCAAGTATTAAACCAAGATATTTCACTTGGTTTGACCAGGAAATTGGAACTCCGACCATAGTGACTATGTGACTACTACTAGGTTTCAAAAAGGAAGCCCTGGGCTTATGTGGAAATATTATAAGTTGAGTTTTGGAAGCGTTGGGAGAAATCTTCCATTTTTGTAAATAAGAAGAGAAAATATCTAAACTTTTCTGAAGTCTGCTGCAAATAACACGAAGACTTCTTCCTTTAGCGGAAATGCTTGTGTCATCAGCGAACAAAGATTTGTGGCAACCCTGAGGCAAATCAGGGAGGTCCGAAGTGAAAATGTTATACAATATAGGCCCAAGAATGCTACCCTGAGGAACTCCTGCTCTAACAGGTAGTCGATTAGATTTGGAATTTTGATAATTTACCTGCAGAGTTCTGTCAGTTAAATAATTTTGAACTAATTTCATAATGTAAAGTGGAAAATTAAACTTTTTCAATTTAGTAATCAAACCTTCATGCCAAACACTGTCGAATGCTTTTTCTATGTCTAGAAGAGCAACTCCAGTTGAGTGGCCTTCAGATTTGTTTGAACGAATTAAATTGGTAACTCTCAAGAGTTGATGAGTAGTTGAATGCCCATGGCGAAATCCAAACTGCTCATCTGCAAAAATTGAGTTCGTATTGATATGAAGCATCATTCTATTCAAAATTATTTTTTCAAAAAGTTTACTTATTGAAGAAAGCAAACTTATTGGACGGTAGCTAGAAGCTTCAGCTGGATTTTTATCCGGCTTCAAAATTGGAACAACTTTTGCATTTTTCCATTTATCAGGAAAGTATGCCAAATGGAAACATCTGTTAAATAATTTTACCAGGAAAGACAAGGTACTCTCTGGGAGTTTTTTGATGAGGATATAGAAAATTCCATCATCACCTGGAGCTTTCATATTTTGAAATTTTTTAGTTATAGACCTTACTTCGTCCAAATCAGTCCCCCAGGAATCATCAAAAATATTTTCCCGAGAGAAAATATTCCGAAAATCCCGAGCAACCTGATTCTCAATAGGACTAGTAAGACCCAAACTGAAATTATGGGAACTCTCGAATTGCTTAGCAAGTTTCTGAGCTTTTTCCAAATTTGTGATCAAAATTTTACCACCTTCTTTAAGCGCTGGAATTGGCTTTTGAGGTTTTTTCAAATTTTTTGTGAGTTTCCAAAAGGGTTTGGAACTCGGGTCTAATTTAGAAACATTATTTTCAAAACTTTTGTTCCTCAGGGCAGAGAATCGCTTTTTAATTTGTTTTTGCAAATCCCGCCAGATAACTTTCATGGCAGGATCGCGTGTTCTTTGAAATTGTCTCCTACGGACATTTTTAAGACGGATCAAGAGCTGAAGATCATCGTCTATTATAATTGAATCGAATTTAAGCTCGCATTTTGGTACTGAGGCAGCTCTTGCTTCAACTATAGAAGTAGTCAGAGATTCAAGAGCATAATTAATTTCATCTTTGGTTTGCAAAGGAATGTTTGGATCGAAGTTATATTCCATAAATGTTCGATATTGCTCCCAATCAGCCCTATGGTAATTGAAAGTAAAGCTGTTGGGATTAGAAATTATTTCTTGGGATATTTCAAAAGTTACTGGAAGGTGATCAGAACCGAAGTCAGCATGGGTAACCAATTGGCTACAAAGATGACATGAATCAGTTAAGACCAAATCAATAGTTGAGGGATTTCTTGCAGAAGAAAAGCATGTTGAGCTGTTTTGATATTGAATAGTGTTATCAGTTGCTTTTTACTTCTTTCGTCAACTTGATGGATGGTCATGGAGAGAGCTTCGACGAGCACATTGATAGGAATGTACAAAGCGTTACTACCATCAGCTGTTTGTTGATGGTGATTGTGATAGGTCGCAACTCTGCTTGCAACATTATTTTGAGATTTTGTCTTCTACAACCTCGAGAAAATATGGTCATATTTATGCTCTCCCTAAAATATCAGCTATGTCTTGCCTAATTTTATTATAATCTCTGGTAGAAGATCGCACCAAAACTGCTAGATTATGTGATAAATTCTCTTAAAACTTTTCAGGAACCGCTTTGCAAATATCCGCTCTAAATTTGATTCCCTTGATCATTTTCGCGTATCCTCAAATCCTCTTTACAATCGTCATTCAATTTTTTCACAGAACTTCTTAAATATTTTACTCTGAATTTTCACAACGGCCTTTCAGTTCTAGTTAAAACTCCTTTATAGTTCTGTCCAAAAGTACTCTGGAAATTTTCTCAGAACTACCTCATGAAGTCATTCTGAAATCTTTTTAAATTCCTATGGAATTTTCATCAAAGTTCCCTTAAAAGTTCTTCAAAGTGATTTATCCTTTGATTTACACGGCAATCCCTTCACTGTGAGTGACAACTGGTCATTTCACTTCGTTTTCACAGTGAAGTGACACCCGTAATAAGGTCCCTAAAAATCTAGTCCAGTTTAAGAGCTTCAACATTTTTTCATGGGCCAGAATCTTATTTTTTTCTCGATTTATCATTGAAATTTACGGGCTTTTCCCGATGATTTCGAATTTCCATCTTTTTCCTGGACCATTGGTCACCCTGTAATATTTGTCTTTCTAAAATTAATATCAGCTCTTAAATGGACAAACTTAGGTCCACTCTCCAAGCATAGTTGTCTGAAGCCGTAGCATAAATCTGGCTCAGAAAAGAAGAGGAATGACGTTTCCCGTGAACATACATAGTTTTATGAATTTAAACCAAAAAAATATTCTGAAAAAAATACCAAAGAGATCTAATCTGGTGGGTTGCATTGCGCGTTGCGCACATTTATTAGCAATTGCGCACTTTGGACGGATCCAGTTTCGAATACAAAACACAACAACAGACGTAATTTTATAGGGGGTGGTCGATTGTGATAATATGTTACAGAAGGGCTTAATTTTGGGCCATTTTCCGTGACATAATTCAGGAACGCTCACTCAAAAAATAAACTGATTTAACCTAGAGACCCTATCGGCCTAATCTAGGTCGTAATGATTTTCGAACCAATTTGAACTGTTAAAATCGGACCAGTTTTTACTGTTATTTTAAGAAGAAAACAGAAAGGAAGTATTACAATCTGAGTGAAAAGCCAACCGTTTTTTTTGGAAATAACTTCATGATTGAGAGACATATGCGTATTGTATGGGTAGATAACCGATCAATTATTTAATCAAAACAAACAAAATGTTCAACTGGGAAAATCTTATATCATTCAAGATTTGCTATTAAATCGTACGTTTTTAATTTCCAACTCCTACATGTTTTTCAAACGATATTAAATGAATGAATTGGTCAGCTTATATTGCATATCATAGTATTCAGATAAACCGAATGGAACTTCCGGTGTACACAATTCTGTTTCATTTCCATATCAACCGATTTAGAATGTGCCCAACATAGGCTGGCACTACCGGGAATTACCGTTTAGCTTCGTTTTACTGGTGCACTTACAGTGTACACTCATAAAATTCGACACATTTTTACTGGCGAATTTCCATGTAAAATTCCACATGATTCTCATGTGTCCACACATAAACAGAATCAACTCAGAAGTACACATGAAATTTATGAGTCTAATGAATAGTATGTGTGGTTACTCATGAACTTTATGTGTACATATAAGAACTATGTGTTCGACAGTGTTGCAGAAATTCATGTGTAGGACACATCAAATTAAGCATTGAATTTTTATTAGTGTAGTTGCTAAGCATCGTGTAATATCGCATTTCAACTACTTACGAGAAATGAAAAAAACGAACAACTAATACTATCGTTACAAGAGAGTCATGCACAGCTCATCCATTGGTTTGTTTTGTTTACTAACTTGGGTGCTGGTCACCAGTAGGTGTATGAATCAGCACTTAACAAAGTTTTCACATAGTTTCTACTGGGAACGCACATAATATTTTTCCAATAACAAAATTTATGATTTTTATTTGAACATCGCATTCGCATAACATAATAAATTTTATTCATATAGATTGGAAACATAGGGTTCATGTGATTTTGTGGAGCAATTTACAATTATGAGATCACATGAAAGTTATGTGAAATTGATTTATTTTATGATCGAGGGTTCAGTTTATTATTTCTTATCGGCCCAATACATAGGCCGGAACCAACGTCGTGGCCAGAAAAATCTCAACGCCCTTGACTTGGAACGAATCCAGACCAGCTTTATTGAGTTTGTCACGCTTGCCATATACAACCACCGGCGCCGACCACCCAGGACTTGATTCGCATTTGAATTTGGTGGAGCAGCTTGGTTATTCAGCTCGGAAAGTAGAAGTGAAAATATCTGCTTTGCACACATTTTCTGCCATGCTTTTGAGTAAGAAAATTACTATATAATAACAGGGTTGTGCATTCTATATCTTAAGACATAAGATTTAACTGAAAACATTTATTCCAAACATCAATAACCCTTTCCTTTGAAGATATATCATTTTATGATAGTGTCAGCTCTTAGTTTGAATACCACAGCTACTAAATAAACTATTCTAACAATCACTCGTTCGGCTTCATTCGGCGATCGTGATAGTTGCTTGTGGTAGTGTGGCCACAACTTGATTTCCTCAGTTGGTGTAAATTTATATGTAGGTACATACACAGCACTGAGCGGTGCTAAACATCACGGCTTACTTTTTGAGCTAGCGGATCGCTCGATCCAGTCTGCAAACGCGTTCCGCCACTCACGGTTAGTGATTGATTTTCACGATCGTGATCTCCTTACGTGTGCGGTTTCGCAGGGTTTCGTAGGGTCGTTGGATTTTCTTTGCGGTGGAAGAATCTTCGCTCGGTATATGTGTTGGTATATCGAGAGTAATAATAACATCGATTTAATGCCAATAAAAAAAAGATCGAACGCATTTGTGCGGCATGACGGGTGGTTTCGTCGATCGGACAAGTGAAGTTGCTCTGAGGTCAATCGGAAGCATGCCGTGTGCGGATATCTCTTTCTATTATTATGTTTGATATTATTTCGTGAATTTGAAAATGTTCGACGTATCTGTTAACCCTAGGCTGGTCATAATCGTAGCGTTTTATAATGTATTTATAGAGTGTTGAGATTTTCAATTTGGAAGAAGGAAAAACGTTTTTAATTTTAGCGGAACGAAAAAAAAAACTACGGATAAAGATATTAAATCAGCGTATGAGTGGGACTGGCTCTAAAAGTACCTCTAATGTGCGGTGTGTGACTCGTTTGCGTGGGTACACAGTGGCAGATGCTGCATCAGAGTGAAGTGAAAAAGAAACATACATGTTTGTGGAAACATCACACAACCCGGCGCGTGCGTTTGCGATCAAGGTGAAATATGTTTTTTTTTTCGAATCATGGATTGGGAAAACAATTGTGAGGTGCAAGTGTTTATAATGTACGGTGAAAATTTTTCGTTTAACTGACTCTAGTTTGCACAAGTTTCATGGAGAATTATTTTGTTGATAAATATACAATTTTAAATGGAAAAATATCGCACCGAGAACAAAACAAACATTGCCCAGAAATTGGTAATGATGCCCTTGGTCATAGCGCAGAATTTGGGCACATAAACTACATCGTTAGAAAAATTATAAATTTCCTGCGAATAACACTCACTAAAAAAGCAAGATTCCCTTTGTTTGATGCGAGATTTTCAATTAATCTGTTTGTTAAAAAGCAACAGTCAGTTTTGGCACTAGTGCGTCAGTTTTTGGCCAAATAAGTTTTGTTGTTTTTTTGCGTAGATAGGGGAAATTTCTCAAGGGTTGGCCCATGGATCTCAATCTCAATAAAAATTTCCTGTTCTTGAGTTATTCTTTGAACATTGCGTCATCTGGACAATACAAACGGCTATTCTTGGCTGGCAACGAAAAACTGATAAAAATGCTTTATTTTGGAATTTATGACGACATTAGGGACATTAACCCTATATAGCAAAATATATGATCTAATATTAATAAATTTTGTAAATAAATGATAGTGTCAATTAGAGGACCATTAGGGCAATAAACTGGCACACTTACCCAAATTAATTAAAAGTAGTAGACAGGCATGGAAAATCATTTGCATTCATTTCGTGCATTCATTTACATTCATTTGCCTCTATCTATTTTTTTCAACAGTATTCTGCAAAATGATGCATATAGCTTTTGTAGGTTTTGTTATTAGCTACAACTTTTGTTAACAAACCAAATCCGTATCTCTTATGCATGACGAACCAGAGCGAACAGAAGCCACTACTGTTTTTCAGTGAATGTGTTTTACATTCACTGAAAAACAGTGATAAGTTCTGCCCGCTCTAGTTCTTGATGCATAAGAGATACAGATTTGAGTTATGAGCAAAAGTTGTAGCTAATAACAAAACCTACAAAAGCTCTATGCATCGTTTTGCGGAATACTGTTGATGCAAAAAGTTAGAAGCAAATGAATGTAAATGAATGTATGAAATGAATGTAAATGATTTTCCATGCCTGGTAGTAGTTAGTAGTAAAAAAGCAGTAAAAAAAGAGCTACCAATGTATTATAAACATCATCAGTTGCAACGCGAGACAGATTTTTGACGTAGGACTACGTCTGTGATTTCTATATGGGAGTACACTTTGTGAAAACCAAAAATGGAACTTGTAACGAAATTATGAAAGTTTTTAAACGTTCATAACTCAGCTGCCCCTGGACTAATTTCAATAATTTTATCACCAATCGATCAGAAATGTGTTTACGCATCTATTCAGTTTAAGACTTTATCATTTTTTAAAATTATCACCGATTGCCTGCTAAAAGCGATTTCCCTAACACAGATTTCAAAGTTGAATTCTATACGGTCTAACCAAACGGTGTTCAATCACCGCGTGGTGAGTGGTGGTGTTATCCAGTACACAACAAAAGGCTGCCTGCAAGCAGCAAGATGCAGCCCACGTGAGCATTAGACTGATGCAAAATTTGAAATTTTCGCGCCACAGTGCTCAAACGTTTTCAAATCAGGTCCTGATTAGCCTCCCAAAATGTAAACTCATTTGGTAAGAAACTGACTTGGCACAAACTATTCGAAGTTTATATGGAAATTACTATGGGAAAACCAAACTTTTTGGTCATTGTCTTCTACTCATTTTCCCTATTGCTTTTTCGAAAGTTTCTATAACTGTTCTTACGGGAAGCTACAACTTTGCAGAATATCGTTTTTCAGCCAAATGTCAAATTAAATTGTTATTAATTGTTTAAGAGATTGATAATCTTATGGCATGATCAAGCAGCTGTTCTGTAAGCAACAATATATTCTGCAGTGTGACATAGTAGCCATGATATTTGTGCTCTATTCTTCGCAACAGAAACACCAATGTTGCCTGCTAAACAGTTGAATGAGCATAATTATAATACATCAGCATAGTGATGTGGTAAATTTTTAGATAAATATGAACAAAAACATAAGTTTTCCCATAGTAATTCCCATATAAACTTGAAATGGTTTGTGCCAAGTCAGTTTCTTACTAAAATAGTTCAAATTTTGGAATGCTAAGCAGAACCCAATTTGGAACCGTTTAAGCACTGTGGAGCGAAAATTTCAAATTTTGCATCAGTCTAGTGAGCATCCATAGAAGGAGGAAGAAGCCACACCGCTATTGATCGGAATCAGTAGCTCTTCGTGAGTCGCTGTGGGCCATCTAGTTCAAACGCGTCATACTAAAGAGTATAAACAGAGGGAAAACCTTGCTCAAATACCTATTCCTACACAAAACACATTTAACAAATAAAATTTATTATATAAGACCACGTAGTCCTACGTCACCATTGCGAACAACCTCATAAGGCTGTCCCTTGTTGTTTTTTTTAATAAAACATATTAAATGCGATTATATGTTCCATGAATTACTGAATCCGTTTATTGTTGTTCTTTTCCATAGTTTTAACGGTGAAAAAAATTGTACAATGGAAGCTTTTACATGTTAAATTGCAATTTTCCAATAATTTATTGTAATTTTTAGTTCAATCGATGCACCTCAGTAAGTAGGTTTATTGGGAATTTTGATCAATTAGAGTGCAAGATGCTAATTCTCTAAGTGCCGTTTATGTTTTTACCATAGCAGTTTCACGCCACTAGAACTTCTGATTTGCATAATTATTTATTGTGGTGTGGAATCATTTACATTTTTGCTAACATCCATTTTGGATCTTGTCAAATTTTTAAAATGGCGTCTTCGAAAAAAATCAAAAAATGTTTGCACGGAATCGACACTTCTGGTCGAAATGACGCCTGACACAAAATTGTAGGGAAAAATAATATATTTCTGAGTAAAGTATATAAACAAATATTTTTATTAACTTCAAGTAAAACTTTAAAACAAAATGTAAAAAACCTAAATGCCCTTCCGATTTTTGAAAAAAAAAAAAATGTGGAAAAAGCTCATGAAAAATGCAAATTTCTGAAAAGTTTTACATTATGGACACATAAAAATTGACATAAGTTGTGGGACAAAAACTTTTAGTAAAATGATTGAACTTTTTGTTGTAATATTTTTTGTGTAATTTATACACAGAAAACAATTTTTAAGACATTTTAAATAAGCATTTTTTGTTTAAATATTTTTTCAACATTAGGAGATATGGGTCTTTAAATTTTTTTCAAGATTTTTTTCTTAATATAAATGAACATGTTTGTTTATTTTTCCCAGAAAGACATTTTTTTACTACAACTTTGTCTCATGCGCCATTTCTATCAAAACACCGTTTACGCGCTATAATTTTTTCAAAAGTTTTGCCATATCCAAAATAGCTGAATTGAAGCACAAATGTTAAACATTGCCCATAACAAACAATTAACATAGTTTCATACGAATTGGAGAAGGTAGATTTAAAAACGCAAATTATTTTAATTATTTTGCCTAGAACTGCACGCTTAGGGGATTTTTAACTATCGAACAGGTTTGGGCCGAAAAGTCTGAGAATTTTATGATTTTTTTTTCTTTGATTTGTTTTTCGTCGATCTTGTTTTCCGTGCTGAACACCAACGCTACCGATGCCAGAGAGGCAGCTCCCACACCTGGACCCTATTTATCGACCCATCAACTCATGAACCGGGGACCAACGGCTTTATTTCCCTTCCGAAGGAAGACGTGACCAGAGATGTTATGCCTCAGAATATCCCGGCGGCGCCGACTGGGATTGAACCCTGGCCTGCTGAGGTGAGAGGTAAGCATGCTTGCCACTACACCACCGGCGCCGCTTTTATGAAATTTTGCCCACAGGTAGAGTTTACGATCAAATGAACAAAAAAAAAATCGGTATGATTAATTTGTCCGGAATATTTTAGTTGAAGGTTTCGGATTTTGACGTACGGATATCACGTAATTTGAAACTTCATAACTAATGAACCAAGCATCATTGAAAGAACTTTATTTAGTGACATTATTAGTAAATTAAACACTGAGTTACGATTTTTTTTTGAATTTTTTTATCTTTGACTAATCATGTTTTATTACTTGATGCGTGAAGTTATCGATTTACATAGTTGGAGATGCTTAACGTCAATATCAGAGTTAAAGTGAACATTTTATACGATAAATAGATGAGGAGATGGGCCGTTATAGTACGGCAGTGTGAAAATTGTATATTGAGAGTAGTAAGCGAGCAAAGGATGATTTTGAGTAAGGTAAGAATCGGGTCGACCATATTTTGTATCGTTAACATTTTCTTAAACTCTACCTGTGGGCAAAATTTCATAAAATTCTGAGACCCCTCGGCCCATTTTGCCCAGTAATAAAAAAAAAACCACATAGTCAATGCTAGATGTGTGTTAGTTTACATAATTATTAATGTAAATATATTGACTAGAAATATTTCACACAATTTGCAAGAAAGTTTGTTAAAATTTGCGAATTTGTTTGTCTCAAGATAAAATAAAAATGCAGTTTGACGAAACTTTTCCATTTTATTTTGCTATGTCATTGAGAGTTTGTTTACTGCTAAAGGTAACTAAACAACATTAATTATTAAACAAAAGTTTCAATATAATACAAATATCAATTTGCTCTTGTTCTAGACTGGAAGTTAATGCTTTTAAAAACCCGCTAAGATACAATTATTTACAAAATGATGCATTTGAATGTTGAAATATTAGTTATTTTGGATTTCAAGACAGAGTGTTCAACATTTGAGTCAACTGAAATTTTAATGATAATGAGGAAAATTTCCGATAGAAAACCAACCTTCCATCGCGAGAAACTGTGCTAAGAATACCTGTGTACGATAAGTGCGTAAGTTTGTAGCCCTAGTGGTCCTTTAATTGATGAATCTACGTTACGGTCGGCCAGTAGATGGAAATGACTTGAAAATGA